AAAATCAGCATAAAGCATCTATAGCATAAGAGTCCAAGTCAGGAGATTCAATATTATTTTTCTTTTTTTTTTAAATTCTTTCTCTGCTTTGTCCATGTTGAGAATCAGTATTATTTTGAAAAGTAATTGCTATATATTAGTAGGAAAGACTATACCTACCACAACTTTTTTCAATTCTTCAAGTTCTACTTCTTTGTTGTTTTTAAACTTAGTCATCTCTTCTAAAATAAGCAAAAAAAATAAATATTTTAAAGGCTGAGATTAAAAAAATAGGAAAGGCAAGAGAAGAAATAATAATAAAACTATCTGAAATGGAAAAATCAAAAGAGCTATATTAATGCAACTAGAGCATAGTAAAGCATAGAGTAAGTCCAAATCTAACTATGTAAAAATAATAAGGACTATTAATAGTAATGCTTCTATAAAGTTAATTCAGCAACCAAAGAAGCCCGAAGTTTATAAAGCAAAATAAGCAAATAAATCTATACAAAATATATTTGGAATGAGATCAGAATGTGCCTTTTTACCTTCAACTCATCAATTATCAAAACATTTGACTTTTTAATCTTCACTGCAAACTTAAGTTATTTTTTCTTAAGCTAACTCTGACCACTGTACTTTGCTTCTCAACATTCCCAATTCCTCTAAGACTTTATCTCCTATATTACCAATATGCACTGACTCTATGTAGAGGAATCTTTAATTTTCCTTATCTCACCTAAACATCCTATTTGAATATAAAATAGTAATATATAAGTGACCTTTCGGCCCTCCTTTCAAGCTACTGTCAAATTTCTCACTTGTTTTGCAGACAAATTCCTGTTTGTTATATTCTTTCTTAACTCCATGCAAAACTAATGCCTAGCTCCATGACAATAAAATTATGATCTTAAAGATCACTGATAACCATTTTGTGATGCAATTATCAGTCTTCATCATTGTGGAGCTTTGTAGTATTTGATACTATTAACTACTCCTGACTTTTTACCTTTGATTTTTCAAGACCTTGAATTAATCATATTTCCTGTTTCCTCTCTAACTTCTGTTCCTGTTTTCTTTGCTAATACCCTTCTTTCTCGCCACCCTACATAATCATGCTTTACAATGCTTTTCTTTCTATGTTTCCATGAATACAACATGATGCTAATTAATTGAAAAATCTTTGGAGGGGGAGGGGAGGGGCTGAAAAATGGCAGAGTAGAGATGACCTCCTAGCTCTCTGCTTCCAAAGAAAGAGGTGAAGAACTCGGATGGCTACACACAAGTGGATCACTCCTTCGCAAGAACAGCATTGTGAAACTGCACTGAAACAGCATTGGACACACAACACAGGAAAAAAAAAATAAAGTTGAATGGGAGATACAATCGAAAAGTCTGGAGAGTGGGAGATAAACAATAGAGAATAGAGCGTGGGAAGGCCGCACCCACCCGGCCAGCCAGTGCAGTGGGATCTGACCCACAGGAGAGAGTCCTGTTCCCCCACTGACCTCCACACCCAGCCAGACAGGGACATACCTCAAGTTGGTGCAAAATCACGGCACCAGATGGCGGGCTCTGTGAAGAGGGGAAAACAGCGGAAAACATCTTGAATTTCCCAGTGCTCTGTGCTAGGACTCCACTGGACCAGGGAGGCACTGGTCTGAGCAACGCTCAAGGGAGTTAGGAGACAGGCACCTCGCCTCTGGTGGTCAGCGGGTACAGAACGAAGGAGGCGAACACTGAAAAGGCAGCTCTACCCTGGAAACCGCTGATGATTATGCCTGCCCAGGGCGGGTCAGAAAGAGTAAAACCTCCTGCCCTGCAAGCACAAGACTGTGAGACAGTGACACACAAGAGACAGTGGGCGTCCTGTTGACTCAGCTCCCCGATCCAGCATCTGCCAACTCCTAAACAGTCGCCTCCAGTGCTAGCGCTTGGCGGTGGGCAGCCACCATTTTGGGGGTCCACAACCCGGACGCTGTGGCATGCTACGGTTTCGGGTAGCACCCCTCCTCCAGCCCAGGGACTCTCCCACGGGGTGCGACAGGCTCCGCCCTTCCGTGACTGATTCAGCTAGCTGGGCCTGTATCAATGGGCGAATTTTGAGTGCTTCCCCACAACGCTAGTTCCCCAGCAGTGGAGGGCCACCACCTGCGGGATTCCCGGGCACTGGGGCGCTGGGCGGTCTCAGGCATCAATCCTCCCCTATCGCAGCGACTTTCACGCCAGGAGTAGTGGGCTCTGCCCCTGGAGGTAGGGAGAAGCAAGAAAAGCCACCTTCCCTGTGTGACTGGCATGAATCTGCAGGACCTTGGGGCAGATCAATAATTGACAGCCTGGTGATTCCGCCCACCAGTCTAGCCTAGGTCATCTCGTAAGAACATAATAACTCTAGGGCCTGCTCTCCGCATCCGAGTGGCTGCCAACAGTGGGGTTTGTGGTCAGAAAAGGAAAATGCTGGCCAGAGACCCCACAGCAGGTGCACCAAGTAACCCCTCCCATCAGGAACAGCCTGCCAAGTGTGGCGGAAGAACCCTGAATAACATACTAGCGGCACCCCCTAGCCGCAGATCAAGCAAACATAGAGGTACACACATCCAGATTGGTAGGCAGCAGCTGCAATTTGCCTTGCCCCTACCACCACTTTAAGTGGGAATAGAGTCCAAGTAACCCTCGGGAGTGGCAAGACCCTTCCTAAAGATCAGGGCATTAGTATTCCTCACCCAGGGACCAGAGAGCAACACAGAGGCATCAGATTACCTCAATAACTGGCTCCTCCACACAATCTACAACCAACCACACAGAAGGTAACCCCTTAGCTCAATATAGTGCCCTCCATCTCAAGCTATTAGAGCGCAGTGGAGTTATACACACAGATGTGATTCACTACGTGGGAGCTTAAGCTGGGGGAATGAACTCACTAATCTCCACTGCCAAGAGGTGAAGACAACAGGTCAGAGGTAACCCAACTTGCCAAAATACCTCTAAGGCAATACGAGACCACTGTGCCTCCTCCCACGACTGTCAAGGAACATCCCTTGGGGGCTTGACGTTAAGGGCACAAACCAGTCCTAGCACTCCCAGTTCTCAATCAATTACCCTGATGAGAAAGAACCAGGGAAAGAATGCAGGGAATATGAAAGAGCAGAGAGAAAAGTCACTCCCAAAAGAAATTATGAGACCCTCAAAATTGGATACTATTTTAAATGAAATGATTAAATTGACAGAGGAAGTATTCCAAATATGGATTGTAAGGAAACTCAACGGAATTGAAAATAGAAACCCAACACAAAGAAGCCATGAGAACAATACAGGAAATGAAAAATTCTCTAAAGAAATTGAAATATTATAAAAAA